CAGGAGGTGTTGAAGCCAGTGACCAATTCCCCTGGTCCTAAGAACATAATCACCTCTGTTACGACAGCGATGAATTCCCAGCCTCTTGATGACTCCAGAGCTCCTGCCAGCTCACGCTAATTTCAGCTCATTTCCCCTGTAATGCTGCCTCCCGTTTATTCTGCAGAGGTCTGAAAAGCACAAAGGTGAGCTGCCAAAACAACATGATGCAACACCGCCCGCTCTGTCACCACCCGCTCCTGCAGCTGCTGCCACCCTCTGTGGCTCCGCGCCTCCGCTCCCTCCTGAGGAGGTAATTTATTGATTAGCTCCCTGGGAAGAGGCTGAACAACAGGATGTGCAACACATCTGCAAAAATTGCATCAAGTGCACCAAAGGGCTTTCTTCTTGTGGCGTGTGCTTTGCCTAAACTCTCTACATGTATAATAGTTGTTCATGTGAAATTCATGTCGGCTTAGGAGCATGAGAACCGTGCCAAGTTTAGCTCCGTTATGAAGAGGTTTCATTACTTTTGCTAATAGCTACTAAAACGATCCCCTTCTTATGAAAGATGTTTGCTCCTTGAATCAGGGATAGGCCTACTGGTACCCATGACCACGCTGCCCACGTTGCTCTTTGCTTCTACTCATTTCTTGCAGCAACAGCCACGGAGCATGGGCTGGCGGCCGCTCCATCACCGTGGCTGTGCTGGTGCAGCTCCAGCCATGGCTCGTTCAGCTTCCAGACCCTGACCACAGACTGATGCCCCAACCTCTGGTCAGTGAAGCACACCGGTGCCAGCATTTGTCCTCTTCAGCATTTTGGTATGGTAACAAATCAGGTAACAAGTGTGGTTTGCTGCTGCAGTGAAATACCTTTTGCAGCTCTACAGCCCACTGCTAGGGAAAGCTCCTGTTAACCAGAGATCACAAAAAATTAAAACCATCACTTACAGAGCACTAAGTGCTTCAGCAGCCGATTGCTATAGATCTGATGTCATGGCCAGTTAAAATAACTTCAGAAGTACTGGTTGAAAGACACTGTATAGGTGTCAGATGCTATTTGGTCACCAGGATGTAACGAAAGGCTTTTAGTTTCACTTTACTGATGGGGAAATGGACGCCGAGTAATTTAGCAGGGCAGCAACAAACCTATGCTGGGTATGGAGTCCCGTCATCCTCAATTAGTGCCCTTCAGATCATGGCAAACGTTTCCTGATGGGCAGCATAGCAAAAAATAAGTGATAAGGGAGAATGAAAGAGAAAGAAACAATTTTACTTCCAGTGCCCCTCCTTTCCTACACAAATGCAGCCTGTGCAAAGCCGCTACCATTGCGGCCATTTCCCACGTTAGCTACCTGCCCACAGGAACCATGGTGCTGGAACTGACAAAGACACAAAAGCCAAGAGAGCAAAGCCACCGCTCCACGAGAGAAGAGTGCACGGTCCAGAAACGCCAGGCTCATCTACACAGAAAAGCAGGAACGTGCAGGCTGGTGATGCGACAATCCCTCCGCTTTTAGCCTTAGGAACTGGGTAAGTGGAGGGAAAGAATTGATCGCTGCTTGGGAGCCCTGGCAGCCTTTCAAACTGGGAAGCAAAGAGAAAAAAAAAATTAACAATGGATATGTTTTTATTTCCTTATGTTCTAAAAAGCGAGTTGTTGACTTAACATGACTGACTCATTGTGCAGCCCAAACGCTTCCAAGCCTGTGCCCCCCTCCTCCCTCGCCATGCCTGCCTTGCACACACCGGCACCCTCCTCAAGCTCCCTCCTGCCGCCAGGCCACCCCCCAAGGGTGCTCCAAGGATGCTCCATGAGGCAGGTTCAGGAGGACGGATGGACTCATGGCCACACAGTGGTCTGGGCACGGAGCTGAACCATGTTGATCTTGATCTCAGCTGATCCAAGCCTAAACGTACATCCCGATTCTTCCCCAGCATCACCTTTCTCCATTCCTGACCATGTCTAACCACACAGAAAGGATGGCTGAACCGAAACACCCGTGCAATGTGTTGCCTCAGCTTTTGAAACAATTACAGAGAAAAGCAGAGTTCTCGTCCTAACAACTCCCCAAAGCCGAGGGAAATAACCAGAAACATTCGTTCCTCTTTGGAGGGAGGGGGCGGTGACCGGAGGGTAGGGAGGGAGAGGAGCTGAAACAAGCTGCCAGCAGCACAAACTTTGTTCGCACTCCAATTCTGCCTCAGATGGGAAGCTGCCAGCAGAGGGAAAAAAAAAAAAAAAAAAAAAAAAAAACCACCCTTAAGAAACAAGGAAGCTGTTTCCAAGCTGGTAGTGACTTCTGAAACAGCAGCCCCTGCCCCCTAAAAAGCTGGGATGAACGCAGGAAATCAGAGCATGCTTTTTGACAAGATTTTTGCGGGGTATTCTACACAAAATCTGACTCCAACAGTTTGTAAGCAGCACATGGATCCGCAGATATCATGCACGGGGCTCTATAGGGAAGAACAAACTGGCACAAAAAAATGGACACAGTGGACAAAAGCCTTTCAAGTCTGAAGTCCCAAACAATGAAAGGTCTGTTTTATTAATCTGCTGCAAATGAGGAGTGCCACATCCACTGTAACAGGCTCCCAGACTGCTGCCAGGGGAGGTTAAAATTATTTATATAAATAAGTGAAAAAGAGGAAAAGCAGCCTCCCGCGGCCATCAGCGGTGCATTTTGAAGGCAGCCACTGCAGCGCTGCGGCCGCCAGCAGCAGCCGGGCAGAGCCGGCAGAGGGCTCGCCCGAGCCGGGCTGGGAAGGCAGCAGGGAAGGGCTGCAGGCAGGAGATGCAGCGAGCTGCATTTCCTTCCCTCCCTGCAGCTGCCAGCAGCTCAGGGCATCCGTGCTGCCAAATGGCAAAACCGCAGGGCTCCTTGCCTCCCAATGCCGCACGCCCTCAAGGTCAAGGGCCCGGATGCTGCACGTGGCCTCGTGGCTGGGATCTCCTGAGAGGAGCTCGAGCTCCTGGTCTTCAGCAGCTGGGAAAGGATTCCAAGCACATCCCTCGGTAGCCCTCCTGCTAACCACTACAGCGAGGATAACGATCCCTTGCCCAACGTGTGGGATGGACCCGGCCGCAGAGGAGGCCACAGCCTCCCTCCCACACACGGAGGGAGGGAGGAACGGTCCTCCTTTAGGAAGCTTATTGCTGGAACTCTGAAGCGTTCACAGAAGCACTTTAATTGTGTTTTATTTACAAAAAAAGTCAACTACCCTTTATACCATAGGTCAGTATCACAACCGCCTTGCAATACACTTCTTGGCAATGAGTGTATGGCTAAGAACACAGATATTATCACCAAAAAGTGAAAGGAATAGGAGCTTCTCTGAGTTAATTCAAAACATTATCCTGACTGATGATCACTTACAAAAGTTCAGATTGCAATACTTTAAAAAAAAAAAAATCAGCTTTTTTTTTCTTACAGTGGGAGAAGCAGGTCAAACATGCTCAGTGTCAGTGGTGCTTCAAGGAAAAAAAATGTTTCTTAAACAAACCAAGGTGTTGGTGGCAATGGATTCTACAGCTTTCTTTTTTTAAAACCAAGGCTGACACAATGTGCTCCAAAGGCACGTGGAACTAAAGGTTCAACCACCCAAGAGTAGCCCAGAGCTAGAATGAAATTTAAATCAGAAAACACACCTAGGAGCAAACAGAAGTGAAACTGCAAAATGTATTTCCCTGAGTCAACCAGTCCACAAAGAATGGAAGAAGAAAATAAGGACAGTTCATAGAAAAGATATTTAAACACTCAAAGACCTCTCTCAAATTTTTCAAGGTATGTTTGATAACATTTGTTTAGTGTTCCCAAAGTCTTATAACAATCCTATCCACAGTTGTTTTTTTTTTTTAAAAAAAAACAACAAACCTGTGGATAGGATTTTTTTTTTCTTAAAAAAAAAAAAAAAAAAAAAAAAAGGATGCTTTCAAATTGATGATGCTCAACGCAATTTGGAAACCAGACACCCCTCGTGAGCACGCTGCAGCTGCTTGTGATGCTGTTCTGCAGCCTGGAAGAGCTGCGGTGGGACGGGACGGGACAGGACAGGACAACGCTGCTCAAACCGCTGCCCACCCAGCCCCAGACACCCTGCGGGCTTGCAGCTCGTTTTAAGCATACTGCTAGGACACGTACCGAATGCAAAGCTGGTAAGATTTCTGAGATCGACTGCACTCAAGTGTTTTAAAATACCCAGAAAGAGGTAAATCAGTTACAATACCTCCTTCACAAGCCTTGTTCTGACTGGCACCCCCTGGCTTTGCGATTAGCCCGTAGAATAGAGGCAAAACCTCTTCCAGTGTCAAGTTTCCATGCAGACAATGTTGCTGACACACACAAAGGAGAACTTGTTTTTCCTAATTTCAGGTGTAGCTTCAAAGTTCAGCTCCATCCTTAAGATCAGCCCTACGGTACTTCATAAACACACGTGTCCTCTCCAAGATGGAACCGAGTGACACACTCCAGAGACCAACTACCAGTGTTGCCTAAAATATCCAGGTTGAACGTGTCAGAATTAATATTTCTGTCTTAAGTGGGACCTTGTTGTGAGCAGCAGCACAACAAGCTACCACATGCAGACTCGGTGTCACCACAGTGCCTTACAGATAGCCGAGGCTCGCAGGAAGTCAAACAGACGCTTTGATGTGGCTCTCCACAAGAAGCAACTAGCACATCTCCTCAGCAGAGCCAATTAGATCAACAAAGGACCATTCTAATTTAGTAATGCTGCTGCCAGGGCTGAAGACAGCTCATCTGAAAGACCCACACATGCACAGCCCTGCGCGATGGACAAGGCGAAGGTTCACCGAGCAGAAGCAGGACCAGCCAACAAGCCATTTCCTGTAAATTACACAGGTGTTGTAGTAGAGGAGGAATTAAAGCAAGTCTGAAGCCAGACACGGCGTTCAGCTCAATGCCAGTGTCAAACTTCTCCATTTCCTCCAGCATCCCCAGGCTCAGCAACCAGCACCCGAACTATTCACCCAGAAACTGGAGTAAAGGATGAACTCACCTGCTTTCATTATCCAGAAATACTGAACTACTGCTTTTCCCAAGGGCTTCGCTAATGGGAGAGAGGCAGAACGGGGAAGAGAAGGCATCAGAATCAGAGTCAAAAGTACTGTCCCTGCTCACATCATCAGCAGACAGCTCCAAGGAGCCCTCATCCTCCCCCAGCTCCGGCCTGCAGTCCAGACCTTCCTCCGTCCCCTCCACCGACAGCTCCGACCTGTTCTGCTCGTCCTGAGAACTGATTGTCGAGAGGATTCCTGAGTCACTGTGGGCAGGCTGCGGGGAGCTGTGGGTGCCATCTGCGGCTGGGCAGCACTGGGACAGCTTCTCCCCTTCTGAAGAAGGGGAACTGATGTAAGCCCCATCTTTTACGAGCTGCGATGCAGTCAAGATGTCTTCTTTCAGGATCACTGCCCCTTTCTGCTCAGGGGGAGAAGCCTGCTGGACAATGCTGAAACCCTGAGTGTGGCGACCACGCTTGCGGGGAGCTTTCCGGACAGGGGAGCTCTCGGGAGTGATGTAGCGCAGGGCTTCTTCATCCTGCCTCTGAATGCGGGAGTTTGGGACCCAGGCGAGGATAAGCGTGGTGCCGAGCAGCTCATCCTTCTCCATGTACAAGCACAAATAGCCTTCAAGAGAGCAGAGCAGCGATCTGTTAGAATGCACATTTATTCCTAAGAAACCGCGTAAGCCAGAAATTTGCTCTCCACCACTTCACCACCATCACACTGGGGCAAAACAACCCCTTTTATCTACCAGGAGAGGATTTTGCTAAAGGAATTGTGGAGTTCTCAACATCATTCAGTATTTACAAATAACTTCAAGTCTACATATGGCTTTTGAATAGTCTAAATTCCCTCTGGCCTGAGTGAATGCAGAAATTACATACAATTCTTTCAACTTCCTGGACGGATTACTAATCAAGAGTAAATTCCGCAATATGTTGCCACATGAAAAGCTTTTACTGTTTGTTAGTTAAACAATGTCAAGTGCCAGCTAAACATTTCTTTTTCAAGAATATTTACCTTCATATAGCCAAAGGGCTACAATTCTCATGGAAAGCCAATAGAAAAGAGTCACACGCACAAAAGGGGAAGCGTGGGTCAATGTTCACAGAATAATTAGTTTTGTGAAGTTAAGCCAGTAGCCACGGCTCTCTTTGATGAGAACATGAAAGAGCACAGTAACAGAAGAGAAGAAAGGGACAGGGACAGTATTCATCTTCATTTACTCCAGTGCATGCAGCCACAATCAGGTTTTATTTTCCCTTTACCAGTGGGTGATGAGGCTGCTCCAGCAATGACAGTTACAAGATGATACTTGGTTTCCCTGACCCATACACATATTTGAAAGAGCAACAGAAGTCACTGCCCTCAAATGACAACTGTTCCTCTTCTGGCAACACAAAAGGATGTATTGAAACAGGTAAATCCACACTAGCCCAGAAGAGAAAGGAGGAACATCATCAATTTTCCTATTAAAAAGACAGCTGACGGATCAGCCTGTGGGGATGGCTTTCCTCAGGCCCCCGTAAGACTGCCTTGCCCCGAACCCCACCAGCACCTCTTCATTCTTTAGAGCCCAAGACGTAGAAACTCCCCAGGAGAGAGAAAAAAAAAAAAAAAGGGTGAGTGGGCAGCGCCTGCAACTCGCCATCACCTGGATGGTGCTCCCCGATGCCTTGCAGCAGCTCAGGTGGGTGGACGCAGACATTGTTCTTGGAGTAGATAATCTCCCCGTCAAGTATGGAAGATGAACTGCTGCTACCACCAGGATTCAGGGTCAGGAGGTCAGAAGCTTTAGAAGAGGCACGTCGGAGGAGTCGCCCCAGAGACATTGCCAAGGAAATGTTTCCATTATCTGTCAGCTTTAATCAGGAGCCCAATTCAGAAGATCTGTCAAGAAGGAGGAAAGAATAGCGTTAGAACAAATACAAGGATGGCACAGCATATGCCTACTGCTGTCTGAGAATGAAGAAGTCTCCCATTGACAGCTGCGTCATTTCTACAACTCAAGCAAGAGAGATCCCGAGTCTAACATCACCTCTATATTTTAAAGATGCTAAAGTGCAGAATCCTGGGATGTTTTTCTTGGCTGCAAAGGAGAAAAAAAGCACACCACAAAACACATTTTAATAGTTACTGCGGGGAAGAAACAGAAAAATAATGCTTGTCACTGAAAATTGCCCATTAAGGGAATAGCTCCGAGGTGCAGAGCTGCCCCATGTATCACTGTCCTGGGGATGTCAAAGAGAATCAGAGTACACCCTAGAGGATTCCTTCAGCACAGAGTAACTACTGCACAGCCACAAGAAGACTAAATGTGGGGCTGCTGCTTCATCCACGGCACAGTAACCAGCGATCTCCAAGCGAACGTTAATTAAAACACGTTCATCTGGTGCTTACCGATTTTTAGCATAATCCTGCTGGGGGGGGGGTTTGGAGGATTTTTATTTATTTATTTATTTATTTATTTTTTGAGTGCTGAGGGTTAAAAAGGGCTCTTTTGCCACTTATCTCTGAATGTTCAACAGAGCAGGCAGACTCCAGTTATTCAGTAATTGAGCATGCCAACTCAAGGCAAATATTTCATCTATTAGTAGTAAATTTTACTATCTGTAGTGTACAACCCCCAGCTAACCACCCAGTAAGCTCAGTAAGCTTTGTACACAAATGAGAGATGCTCTTCATCGGGGCAGATGAGGAGCTCTACAGTGAATCCCGAGGGGTCCCTCAAGCCACAAACTATTTAGCAGATGAATCAGGAAGACGACTTGATGTGGAGGAAGGGCAGGTGGGTCTCACACAAAGCAGCACCGCAGGTAGCCCAACACAAGGCGAAGCAGATCAGGCTCTACCTCCTGCTCCCACCCCCAGCCAGGGAGCACAGCCTCAGCAGCGCTGCTGTTTCTGTTCTGCCAAAAGTACACGAGGAGAAGAAACGTCTCCTCTTGTTCCTTTGGATTTGCAGGGCCTCGCTCGCTAGTGAACGGGCTGGCGTGACCTAGCAGGCGCTGCACACAGCTGCGGCACGCGGAGATCAGCGCTGCGCGTTCCTCTGGACGAGTCGCATGCCACGGTCCGCAGAGCACGAGGGCAGCCAGAGAGAGAAAGAAAAGCAGACAGGCTCGGACTTGTTCCATCAGGGGCAATGTGCGCAGCAAATATTTAGGGGTGAAAGGCAAGCTCTGTTTAACGCTGAATAGCTCTGGTTTCTTTAAACCCGGTTTTAACAATATCTCCGGATAAACAAGGAAGGGAGGAGGCAAGGACAGCAAACGGAAACCAGCACTTCCCAAAACGCAGAGTGAAAGCTGCAGGGGAGGAAAACAACTGTCCCAGTTCAGATTGGGTTTTGCATACAGAAGACAGCAATGGAGACCGCTGAGTAGTTGACAGAGCCAGGACAAGGTCCTGTTTATCTGGCACTTGCTAGATTCATCAGGTTGAACCACTGCAGGAGCAGTTTTTGCTTTTCAGTATTTGCTGGAACTTGATGGAGAAGCCTCAACCCTGTACTGTGTTCATCATGTGTTTAGGAGAAGAGATTTACTTTGTAAGTCCTACACGCCATTGTCTCCTTCCAGCACCAAACACAACGTGTATGTTCATGTCTCAGCCCTAAGAAACAAACACGGAGGGAGCCATATGCTCGGTCTTGTCCAGACAATCAAAAAATACAGTAATGTTTCATGCTGTAGGTCGTATCTTGGAGAAAGTTATTAGCTACAGAACGAGTCGCCTTTCCTCTTATTGCACCCTGCAAGAATACAACCAGTAAACTCTGCTGCAATTCCTCCTTCCTACCACCATGTTACAACACACCATTTCGACACTGCTGAGGGAGTCCGAAGCAGTGATGTGGAGCAACCTGCACGGCACCGGGGGCCCTGCACCTCCCATGCACCTGAGGAGGTCATCACAGGAGCTCTTACCGCGTTTTGAAGGCAGCAGTCTGCCCAGCTATGCCCCCCTGCCACCAAAGCTGAAACCAGCCCAAATATCCAGACCTTTAGCTATGCCAGCAATTTCATCCGAACTCTAAAAAGGCAAAACCTGCCTAAGCAAGGAAGGAAGGTGGTATCAAGGTGCTGCAGCTGTTGACCAGGGAATGCTTACTCAGAAAACACAAGTGAGCTTTTCCTGCTAAGGACAGCAGATGGAGATGCAGGCACGAAACAAGAGCTTGTATGATGGCCTACTGCAGCTCTCCAGGGGTGCTCAGGAATGCAGGAAGAAGTAAAGAGCTTCTCTGCCAAGAGAGGCAACATTTAATTAGCTTTTACCTTGTACAGAAAGAACAAAGCAACAGGTAAAGATCAAAAGCTGCTCCCTGGAAAGCAGGAGGAATTTGAAGGTAAATATCCCTTTGATCCTGCAGAACACCTGTTGTTTCAGCGCTGCCCTGATGTGCAGGTGGAAGGCGCTGCAGGTACACACACACGTAAGCAGGTTGGAAAGAGGAAAAAAAAAAGCCAGGAGGTCCAGAATACGGCACCTTGCCAGTATGGAAATTTAACGTGTTACATTTGTCTTCCCTGCTGAAGAGCTATCCATCAGAGATCAAACAGAAGTCCACTACGATGCTGCAAACAAACAGCCAAACTTCCTGGGATATATGAATTCCATCTGCATGACTCAAATTAATCCTTCCACCATCACCACAGGCTAGGGAATTCTGTCTCGCTTTGGTCACAACATTAAAGGAGACCAGCTGCAAGTCACTGGACAGTTTCAGAAGAGTGACAGGAGCAATCTGGGGCATGGGAAGAGATTGACAAGGAAAGAAAAAGGGAAATGCATTAAAAAATCTTCGTACACCTGAATTGTCACTGCCAAAGGAGGGAGGAGCTGTCTATGGAGGATAGGAGAGGCAGTAAGGCAACGTGACTAAACGAAACATTCCTTGCCATGGTCTTTCTCACAGCAGGGAGATAATGGTGTACCTGGGTAAAGCAACCTGAAGAAACTATTTACATCACTGGGGGTTTCAGAAACAGGGTTCAGAAACAGACAGCCATGAGGAACTACTCAGGCAGTCGGTCCTAGCTAGGATGAGCTGATGGACTGCACCTCTGAGGGTCACCTAATCTCCTTGTGCAACCCCACAACTCTGAAACGCAGCCTGTGAATCTGCCTCTCCTTTCCCTGAGCTCACGCACCACAAACCAGCAAGTACCAAACCCACCCAATCTGCAGGGTTTGCTCCATTCTGAGCCCTCTCCCATACGGGACAGCGCCTGCATGCAGGGTCCTTGGGGCCTGGGTTGTGAGAAGCAGGTGCTGTCGCTGCCTCTTGTATGGCTTGGGAGGCAGGCAGGGACTCAGCCCTACAGCTAAGTCAGCATGAAATTCACGCTGTTAAAAACATGTTTTACATATTAATTTTCAATTTATCCCTGATCTGAAGGGATTCTTTTCAATGTGGCAGAGCCAACCCAGTTCTCCAGAAGCTGAAGCACTGAATTAGCTGATCAGCTCTTGCTCAGTGCCAATATTTATTAAGCACATATACATTCTCTTCTCCCACACATCAACTGTTGTCACTAAAATCCTTGCTACAGCTAGCAAGTCTGTTCTCACAGCCCCTGGCTGCTCTCCCAGTCGGTGCCAGCACTTCTCAGCTACACAAGATCTCAGAAACGCGCTGGGCAGCCAGCTCCTGAAGTCACCCCGATGCCCTCTTCGCAAGAGCCTGACCAGTTCCAGCCAGCAGCATCTCAAGTAGCGCTGGCTTCTCGCCTTGCTTGGAAATGCCCTTCCCCTTCTCATAAACAGCAAAATCCTGTTTGGCTTGGCAGATTGCACCCTCACCTTGGCAGACGCTGCCGGACCAAATGTTGCTGCCTCCGGTTGCACAGGATTCCTGTCTCTGGGAAAGGAGGGCAACGCAGGGCTCCTGCCCGGGCTGACACTGGCTCCAGCGCATTACTCACGGGCTGCGCAGTGCGCACGGACACTGGAGCAAAGCCACAAGGCTCCTCTCACAAAAACCTTTGCCTAGGGGGGCTGTGCTCCAGAGAGGGCTGCAGCCTAAAAGTCACGATGCCGGCCGGACACTGTGTCTGGCAGCAGACCTCATGGCTCCAAGGGCAAATTTTCTTTGCAAGAGTTTGATAAATTTATGAGCAAAATAAGCCAAACTACAGGGCTCTTGAAGTGAAACATGAGACCCACAGCATGTCTGGACACAAAGAAGAAACGAGAGCTGTCAAAATCACCACCAAATTTGAGCTTGAAACACCATAAAAAAGAAAAGCGCAGCAGGCGCTTCCCCCTCCCCCCTTCTTTTCTCTTAGTAACTTGCATTTAATTTCACACATTAAAGGGATACAGATTCACTGCACAGCAGAGGTCTCAAAACCCGCAGAAGTTGCCGCTTCCTCCTCACGTTGGGAAGAGCAAATGCTAAGCTTGCATTTCTGGCAACCCGCAGCAGAAGCGCTGGGAGTCAGGGCTCAGCAGCTCGCCAGCCCTCTTCAGGGCTTTCTGCACACCCCTCGGCTGGGCACTCACTTGATCAGCTCTCCTCTACGTATGCACGAGAGCAGCTGCAGCGACCTTTCCTTTGTATTGGAATACCTCCACATTAGGAAAAAAAAAAAAAGCTTTCAAAACTGCCAGCTATTAGCTAAAGCTATTTAGGATGACCTAGCCAAATCAAGGAAAAAACGTTTACCGCAGGGAGCCACTCTGAAGTCATCCCGTTTCACAGGGAGAATTATGTAGGTCACCAAAAACTCTTTCATTTCTGACCTGCAGGTGCAGCCGTGTGGCACGCCGAGTGCAGAGCAAAGGGAAAAGTAACAGCAGCCACCAGTGCGGGCTGAGATCCTGACGCTCACGGTACTCGGCTTCCAGTCACTTCAGTGGAGCAGATTTTGCTCAGATGCATCTCAGCTGAGAAGGTAAAAAAAAAAAAAAAAGGGACAGCAGACTAAATACCGCAAGTTGTGACTCAGAGATAAAAAGGGAAATGAAATCCGATCATTGGAGCCTGCTGGCTGCTCCCAGCCACACCTGCTTAGGCAGAAAAAAAGCAAACAAAAAGCTTTGCGCTCCTCCAGCGCTAAAAGTCAAACTGCGCCATACGCTGTAGTGCGAGGAGCTTCTTTGCGCCATATGTCCCCGTGTCCCGAGATTAACCATCACTTCATATTACTTAAGCGCAGCAGCTCACGCTTTAATGGCTTTTTATTTACTATGCCCTGTAGCCACGGCCTGATAACTCTCGCAGCACTAAACGCCCAAAGAGCGGCTAAAGGATCCCCGGAGCCCTGTTTGACAGACAGCCTGACAAAGTAATTGCAAAGATTTTTCCCCCCCCCCCCCCCAATACACCACAAAGGCTGCTAACTCTGCACATCCCACAAAGGCTGGGAGCAGCGGCCGCCACGAACTTCAGCTGCAGCCCCTCACGATTTTTCCCTTTTCTCTCGGAATTTCTCCTTTTTATCGCCTCCCCCCCACCACGCCAATGAATAACCCGGCACCCCTGAGGAAGGGGATGGGGGGGTGGTGGGGGGGTCACAGCCCTCACCGGCAGCACCCGGCCCCTGCCCGGGGAGCCCCCAGGCTGGGTGGGCGGTGAGGGGGGGGCCCGAGCGGGGCCTGCCCGGACCGGGGGGGCTCGGGGGGGTCCTGGGGGGGGCGCTCCGGGACTCGGGGGGGGTGTCCAGGGGTTGGGGGGTGGGGGAGCGGGGCAGGAGGGGAGACAAAGAGCGGGGGTGCGGAGCGGAGCGGGGGGGGCACCGGGGGGCCCCAGCCCCCCCCCCCCCCAATGGGGCCAGCACCGGGCCCCGCCGCCCCCAGCCCCGGTTGGTCCCGGTAGAGCCGAGCCCGGGGCTGGAGGGCACGGACCCGGCTCGTGTCCGCGTGTCGGGGCGGGGACACCGTCCCCGTCCCCGTCCCCATTACCCCCGGGGACCCACCGGGGACCCCCCCGGTCCCCGGTCCCCGCCCCCTCCCCTCCCGGTCCTCGTCCCGCACCCACCGGGTCCTGCGCGGGGCCCACCGGCCGCCTCCTGCCGCCACGGCCCGCCGGGGTGTGCCCGCCCCGCCCCGCCCGGTACCGGCCCCGCCCTCTGAGGAGCTCCGGGAACGGCCGAACCCCTCCCCCCCCCCCCCCCCCCCCCCCCTCCCGGTGCCGTTACCTGCGGCGGGGCCGAGCCCGGAGGCGGTCCCCCCCCCCCCGCCTCTCCGCAGTGGTGCGGCCCGAGACACCCCCCCACGCACACACACACACCCCCTTCCCACCCCCCCCCCCCCGGCTGGGGTGCAGTGGTGCGGCCCGCGGCCGTCACGTGACCGGGTGTTGACGCGTTGCCTGGCAACGGGAAGATGGCGGAGCCGGCGGTGAGTGCGGGCCCGGCCCCGCCGCGGGGCTCGGCCTGAGGGCGGCGGGGGGAGCCCGGACACCCCCGCCCGGCCCCGTACCGGGGTGGTGAAGGGCTGGGCAAGGCTCCCCGCGTGTTCCCTGCGGGCCGCTGTCCGCCCGGAGGCGTTGTCGGAGGGAAGAAGTCAACCGGCGGTGCCCGCGGGCCTGGTCCGCACCCAGAGCAGGCCGCAAAAAAAGCCCACCCTGTCACTGTGTCTGCTGAAAGCTCCGTTCTGTCACCGTGTTTTGTCACCTGTCTGCGCTTCTCGTACGGCTCGTAGTGTTTTTTGTCGTAGGCCAATTAGAAAGGAAGTTATCCGCGTGCTGTAGGTGTGCACGCATGAGGTTTTTATTTTTTTTAGGTTTGTTAGTGATAACGAACCGCAGACGCCTTCTGGGTGTGGCACAAAGTTTGGATTTGGCAACTGATGATAGGGGATAAAACAGCGTCTCTTTAAAAAGAGAGAAAAGTGAATCGTTTGGCCCTGCCTGAATCCCTAAGGGAACTTTTTTCCTTTAGTTCTGACAAATAAATGCCTGAAGCTTTACAGTGGCGTGTAAGATTTTTATTAGGATCTTTGCTATCTTAATGCTAGCTTAGTGAACTTTTTTGCAAATGAGGTTAAACTTATAAATGAAACTTGTGTGCGCTGTGACCAGTCCTTCGAATACCGTCCTGTTAACGTTAAGTGAAGTGCGCTGCCTGTTATCACCCCGCTGTGCTGCTTTTTGCCTGTGCTGTGTGCTAGACACTGCAGGCAGAGAATGGGAATGACAATGAAGAGGACGAAGTCTTGTTCACAGAACGTATGGCCACTGTACGCTCAAGCTGTCCCATTGCAGGAGCAGTTTTACTGATGTAACTGTAAGATCAGAACTAAAAGAGAGGGAACTGGTCCGACGTGAAGTATACAAAAGCTCTGAAAAAAATGGAGAGGTTCTTTTGCTGTGTTACATCTTTGTAATGTTCTTTTGTCAGGAATGACACAGGTTTGCCAGTGTATTTGTGGGCTGAATTTACAACAAGGCTTTTTTGTTGATTCTTTGTCTGTACTGTTCATATCTCATAACAACAAAAATGAGCAGATTTTTAGGTGCAGATAGAGTGAAAAGCTGATTCTGGTGTTCTATTTCACGGCCTAGGAAAAATCTCCTGAGGCTTTCTCAGCCAAAATGCAGTCTGACAGTGACCCTCCTGACCTGGGAGAGATGGAGCAGCCCACAGCTGACGCAGACAGCCCTTCCCGGACGTTGTCAGGAGCTCCTATGCAAGTGCCTGCGTTTTCAGGGGAGTTGAGCACAGAACCAGGTACAATTCAGTTCCTTAGTAACATTGCAACACTTGATACCATCTAACAAGCAGTGTCTAGCTTTCTCCCTTTGTCATCATTGTGAATATAGCCTTAGGCACATCACTATAAATTTTTATTTATTTATTTATTTATTTTCCCCTTTCTATTCAGAACCTGTCTTTGAGCAATTAGGTCAGCTTGCTAATGAGCATGGTGGCCAAAGACAGGAACATGAAGGCCAGCAGCCTGGAACTGAGGAAAATGAAATAAGTAGAAGAAGTGAGGAACCAGCAGAAGAAACACAACTGGTTGTCTTGGATCCAGAACATGTGAGAAGTCTCCAGATCTTGCCATTTGTTACTGCAGACGTGTTATTTGTGTTCATAGCTATTTAAAACATGAAGCAAACTGTAGGCAGTGGCTTAGCTGTATGCTAAAACTACCTTCTTATAAATAGCTTTTGCAAAACCGCTAACTCCTCAATATTAAACTCAAAGTTGTAGTTTCAAAAGCGAGCAACGTAGTGGGCTTATCACTTACTCCTGAAAGAAGTACTTGCAACAAGAGTGAGTAGAGGGGTTCTCAGGCATAGCTCTCCTGATGTTTCTGATTTTTAAATATTCTCAGCAGTCATCTTCTGATTTCAAGAAACACCCGCAGTATAACTCCTGCAGCGAGTGTAGCTAGAATGGGAATCCAAGCCTCCATGGGACAGAATACAATGTTTAAGCAATAGTGGGAGTAGTACTAAGATTCCTTCATATTTTATTTACATGAGTGTGTTAAAATTATCAACGTCATACTTCTTTTACAGCCTCTGATGAGAAGATTCCAAGCTGCCCTAAAGAATTACCTTATTAAGCAGATGGAAAAAGTGAACCTAGAGCTTCGGGAACTGGTATATAGCACTCTTTCTTTGCCTTCTCATTGCATCCCATCCCTGTCCAAGTTGAAGTGAGATAACCAACTTCCTCTTGTGTTTGCAGAGGACAGCAACGAAGAAGAGCCAAGTACAGAGAGAAGAGCTTGGGGTGATTCTGTACGGAGTGCAGCAGCAGCTGGCCCAGCTGCAGATGGAGCTGGAGAAGAGCCATGACCGTCGTTCTCAGGCAGCCGCAGCACGTTTGCAGCTAGAAGAGGAACTGAAGGGCCTCAAGCTGACTTACAGGAAAGTGTGTCAGAACACAGATGATGAACGCAAGAAAGGTGACTGAGGCAGTCCTTGTAATATTGCCCTAATTCTAGCCCTATATGAAGAAATGAATTTGAATACAAGCCAAGCACTAGATTTTAGAGAACGGTAAATTTCACAGGGATTGATGCACCCACTGAGAAATTTTAGAGATGTCTGGTTGCCATACAATTTATATTGCTATGTTCTACTGCTGAGAAGGGCTTCAGGGCTGAAACTAAAACTCCTCCTGGCGGGTAGGCTGTTCTGTGATTTAGCAGAAGGAAAATGCCCATCGTGTGATGTCTGTGTCTCTGTAAGAGTGTGCTTAAAATGCAAGGATTGTAGGCATTTAGGAGCATCTAAGAGCATGAAAGCACCATCCATGTGGCAGCCTATTCCAGTCAAATAAATGAACTTAATTCAGTTTTTCTTTGTTGCAGGCATCTGGATAGGTTACAGTAAATGATTTCAGTAGTGAGGTTCGTAAAGAATTAAAATAGCCTAGATATTTTTGCAGTTATTTTAAAAATAAAAATTCAAAGAAGCATTGAAGTCTGAGAAAGAGACAGTTCTGTTTTGGAGCAGAGGAATGGGTTCACAGCCTACTGAAGCCCTTCCTTTGATTTCCTTGGAATCTGTTTGCTGAGATCTGAGGAGCCACTTACCAAGACCTTTAAATTCGCCTATGGAGCTGTAATCCATAGCTGATGCCAATTCTCACTTGAGGGAGGGCTAATTTACCTGGTGGGCATCTGGATTTTGCTTGGATGCTTCTGTGTTTCTTTCCCTTTTATCTCTGCTTGCAGTGTGTCCTACAGACATACTTTTTGGTAAATACTCTTTCTCCTGCCACCCCAGTTTCTGCAATGCAGACCGAAGTGGAAAACTTGGCCTTACACCTCTTCTACATGCAGAATATGGATGAGGATATGTATCGTAATATCTTAATGATGAAACAGTCAGCAAAGAAGGCTGAGGCACAGAAGGTCCAGGCTGAGGTGGAAAAGAAAAAACAGGTATCAATTAAAATTGTCTGCCTTTTAATAAATATATACAGGTGGCAGTGGTGAGCCTTGGAGGAGGTGCAACCTTGTTAGGAGAAAGGCTATAATGACAGACTTAGGGAAGGTGTGTGGGGATTTTTTCCCAAATAATTGGAGGAAAAAGCCAACCAAACAAACAAAAGACACCCAAAACAATGCAGTCTTCTCTAAAAATGAGGAGAAAAAACACTACCAAGGTAGTGGCATGTACTGCCAATTTTTTTTTTTTTTTGTCAAGCCTTTGAATAGTAAATCGCTCTTCATGTAAGCAAAGGGAGGTGAAAACAGAAAGCTATTTAGTGAAGAATTATGTTCAAGTTTCAAGAATTATTCTGAGTCACAATGAGTTTCACAATGAAAAGCAAACTTTGAAAATTGAATGAATCTGTTGGTGTGCTGGAGCTCCCTCTGCTGCCTTCCCTTTGCAGCAGGATGCAGACATTGCTTACAATTCTGCATTAAAAAATAATAAAAGCATTTGAAGTAGAATAGATTTAGATGTTTTTTAACAAAGCATTTTAAAGCATAAATTATTAAGATTCCCAGCTATTGCAGAGGTGTTGCAATATAATATATAATGACAGGAATGAATGCTAATTCAGATCTAAAGTATCGATTTACTAATGTAAATGGAATAATAAAAAAATCAGCAAAGGAGGACTCGTTCTTCTATAAGTTTTCTTCTGCATTTATGACAGTCATTCATACTTGAATGGAAAAGGTTCACTAAAGGTTCTAATCCAGTTGCTACTTTAATCCTGTTTCTAGCCTATGTTATGTTATTCTTGTTGAACACAGTTGATTAAGACCAAGATCACATTACTCCAGAACTGATGATTCTAACTCTTTAGGATCTCCTAGTGGACCGCTTGACAAGAAAAGCTTATGAACTGGAAGAACAGATTGCTTTGTTTGAAGCTCAGTTTGTGGCCCAGGCAGAGGACACAAAAGTAACTCGACAAGCAGTAAATGAGGTAGGAAGTGCTTTTTTTTTTTTTTTTTTTTTTTTTTTGTTTCTGGTTAATATTTCCCTCTGGAGAGACAGCCCCTGTTGGCTTGTGCTCACGTGATACATACAGTATGGGCCAGAGTTTTATAGTTTGTTCCTGTTTGCTGGCACGAAGACTTTTTTTCCCTTTGTCTTTAAGAATTGTCTGTAAATCACTTCCTCCTCCGCTTTCTTAGCATTTTTTTTTCTTGGAGAACTATAACT